GGGACCAGACCAAATTGCCGCTATTGAACCAAGTTTTTCCTACATGCAATGAGAAGCAGAAAAACTTGTACAACTCCTATTTGTAAAAATGCAATTTGGTTACGAATTGCCAAGACCCCTCACTTTTTTGTACCTCATACTAGTGGATGCATTGCTCCTGATAAAAGATCAGGTAGTATTCAGCCTGTCTTCAATTTCTTTAATAAAAGGTTTTATATGCCTTCGCTCTACAATTACCGCTTGCCTTAAAGAACATGAATGGCCATATCATGTTTCTCCTTTTGTTCGGGAATTTAAACGAAGAAAAGATATTAATACATGTTAAAAATAAGGAAAACAATTTGGTGCACTTCAGTTTAATACATTTATTGACACCCTTTAATTTAGTGATTAAAATCAATATAATTAAAAGTTTTATCATATTAAATTTAAATTTAAAGATAATAATTTTTGATAAGTATATTTACCAATCATTATTTTAAAAATAAAAATAGAGAAAAGTAAAAATCTAAATGTTATGTTATTTAAAATATCTAATGAAATTATTTAAATATCTTTAATGAATTTTACTTGTATATTAATTCATTAAAAATACTTAGTAAGTGTTTTCTTTTCTTTCTTTTTTTTTTTGGCCAGCAAAACAAAATATTAGTATATTACTTCAAAAAAATAGTCTTACAGCAAATAAAACAAAACACAAAACAAAGGAAAAACACGCTACCATGACACAGCCCACTAACATAGAGACCAATAGAAAAGGGTACGCTGCTGAGAAGGAGACATTTTAGAAAGCTTGTATGTTGCGCAAACTCTGCAAAGAAGCTCTTCAAATAGCTTTGACACACTTCCATTCCTCAAATAATGAAGACAAGGGACTGGAGATGAATGCGAGGACTCACAGCTACAAAGCCAATTTAATTCTCTCTACAGCCTGCCTGATACCGCTACCTCCAGCCATGGAACCTAAATCTTCAAGCAGAAACCAGTTTGATGAAACAGCTTTTGGCAGTGCTTGGAGTAGCAGTTGAGACTAAGAGAGGGGCCAGCAACATCCAGTAAGAAGGAGACACTTCTCACAGCCACCATCCCTACCAGCAGTCCACTCTAAATAACCCTCATCTTGATTACGTCAAACTTTCCAGTCATTGTTAGCCCTTTTCTTGGCAGATAGACATTACATAAAACACCAATAACATAAAAACAGAACAGGTAATTAAAGTTAACAAGGTTTAGATATAAAGAGATTTTAGGTGCATAATGGACCAAGGGCAACCCCAACCTAAGGCCACATAACCCCTGCTGCATCATGGCTGCACCGTGGTTTTTGGGCAACCACTAAGCCCTTCACCAGCAAATTGAACAAATCCAGTGAACTTCCCTATCAGGAGCAAAACCATTCCCTGTCACGCTTCTAGAACTAGTCACAAGTGTTTTTATTATTAATCCTCATCTTTTAAGCTCCATTTAGTATGATTTTATATTTATATATATATATATATATTTTTTTGGAGTTTTTATTTTTTATATATTAAGTAGTTATTATTATATTTTAAATTTTAAATTTATTATAAAAATTTAAATTTATTAAATATAATTTAAACTTAGAACAAATTACTAAATATATAAAAAATAAAATCTAAAAATTAAAAGAAAAAACCATATTAAACAGTCTTATTGGCAAAAGGTTTTAATTTTTCACAATTCCATAAAAAAAATAAAACAGAAAAAAAGGGCAAAACATACAAATTACCCCTTTAACTTCTCGTATGGTGGCAAATCACCCCCTCAACTAGATTCACGCGCAAACTAACCCTCAAACTCATTTTCGGTGGCAAAAAAGCCCTTCTATACATTATTCGGTTAAAATTAACATTGGCCTCATTAAGAGGGCCCCGCTTGACAATTCACTCACTCCACCTCATCAAATTTAGATTAAAAAAACAATAATGAATGAAAATTTAAAATTAAGTTTCATAATCCTTCAAATTTACCAAACATGCCCTCAATCCCTCACCAAGCATCTTCTGCAAATTCTTATTCCAATAATAGAACATGAGGCCAATAGCAAGAGTGAAACCCAGCTAAAGTTTATACCCATTTGATGGAGTTTATACCCATTTTGATGCGGCCCAAAACCAATTAACAAACTAGACTGGGAACACCTTTCTCTTGTTCATCTTCTTCTTTTCTTCCCTCTTTTCTTCTCCTTTCTCCATCTACGGCTATTTTGTCCCGTTTACGACTCAATGACTGCCACTCGACGAGCTCAAAACCAGATTAGATGGTGAAATCCAGCCAAGCAAACGCTACATCATGTCCTATTGTTCTATCAACGGCGAAACCATGCCAAAACGAAAGCAACACCACCAGGTTCGGAAAAGAACAAAATAGAGGAAAAAGAAGGTAGTCAAGGAATAACAGAGATATTGAGGCGGAGACAAAGGGGATCAATGGTGAGGAGTAGCAGAGAAAAAGGCTCTTATTGTGGTAGTTTTTCGTGAGCAAAGGTGAATTTTGCAGGGACATCAAGATTAAGTTGAGTTCCCCAATGGAAGAAAGAAGATGAGTTAATTTGGTTAATTACCAATTAATTAATGTTTAATATTTACCATTCAAGAAAAAAATTCAATATATTTTGACATTTAAAATATTAAAAATTTAATTACAATTATTAAATATATATGATATAACATGAATATTAATTTTATTATATTTATTATGTAGTTATTTTTTAAGGTT